AAAATTGGTACAGATTTTGTACCTTCGAGTTAGAACCAGAAAATTAAAATTTTGTATGGTTTCATTTTTTTTTCTGTGTTGCATATGCTGTTTTATTAGTTATCACAAGACTACTATTTAAGATTCATGAGGTTACCTTCATTGGTTGTAGAACGCGTTGGAGGCGGGGGCGGAAGAGGAGGTGTATTTTGATTTGGCGGTGGTGCTGGTGCAGGGACCAAAGTAGAATTATAAAATGGATACGTCTCATACCTAACATTACAGCTGAGGAAAATAACTCTTGCTCCTTGTTTACTATTACAACATGACGGTAAAGTCGAGATACCGTCTCGAAGGCAGGTATTGCAATCACTGCTCGAAAGATCAGGGGTGCACTGCGCGAGAGTGTACAATGTCTGAAATGCTGTGAAATTAGCTTGTTTGGTAGCAAATTTTTTACCAGAGAGATCATCTGCTGCTTCTGTTGCTGCTTCATTCATCGTATTCGCCAATAGAGTTCTGAATCTATCAGGTTGATCAGTGATGTTCTGGGGGTTATACATGGTGATTCTTAAATTGTGATCAGACCTGGAGAATATGGATATATTTGAGTAACGTAACATGCACTCATCGTACCAGATAACTGACACTTTTTCCATGGGACAACGTTGTAAGATTTCCGTAGTAGCGTTTCTTACACACTCTTCACAAACGTCGGTTTGAACATCACCTCTACATAGGAAGAGGCCATTGACTGTGTCAGGAGGGCCACGACCCACCGTATAGCTGTAAAATCCACTGTCCCGGGTAGCATTTGAGGATAGAGTAAGAAAAAGTTGATTCAAGTTGGATCTATAGGTGCTATTAGGACTGTATGTAGTTGTATTTGGGCAGTCATGAGCAAGATAATTCGCGGAGCTGATCACCCTAATTGTGCTAGAAAGAAAGAGCAAGCAAAACAAGAAAAGATAACCAGAAATCTTGAAGGCTAACATGGTGGTGCTTAAAAATCTTCCACTGAGTTAATTTTATGAAAAACAGAGGCATATAATAAGATAATAAGATGTGAAAGGAGTGGTGAGCGGTGATGGAAGACTTGGTGTGCCAGTCAATGGAATGCAAGTTGTGTTAATTGTCATTGTCCTTGTGGAAATTAAGAAAGCAGATAGAAACAATTAATATTTGACGGGTTGTGCTGTGGACCACCAATGATGGCGCGCCGGGTGTCCATTATGGACACCCCTATGGATCCACTTATGTACCCATAGCATTTTCCATATTTGACGGAGATAAGAATCTGCTATGGTTGATTTTACATGGTGACTGTACAACTCTTGACATTTGGTCGAGCTTTAGCTTGCCGAACTTGTACATAAACAAGGAAAGACGAGAATCTTCTCATGCGATTTTTTTTTTTTTTAATCGTATTATATTTTTGAACTATCTAGATAGATCAAATATATCGATTTGTCTAGTTTCAAAGTGGAATGGCACTGCTTGACTTGTAACAAGTGTGCCTTGTGGGTCAACTTGTTTCTATTATCGGACTATGTAAGCTCAATTAAGCTTGCAACCTATATTTCACCATTCAACTTAGAAAAAAACTCAATTAAGCTTGCAACCTGTATCCAAAAATAAAAATTTATAGACCTGCCAAGCCTTGTGGTGCCAATGCTCAGCTGGGTCCACAAATGCTTTGATGCGCACTTGAGACAAGGGTTCCATATTATTTCAACTTCTTTGTTTTTTTAATCAGCAAAGCCAATTGTACTGGAATTGGCTTTACCGAAGTGCTACATACACTC